GTCAGCAAGACGAAGCCGGCGGAGATGGTGCTGGACGCGTACAGCCACGGGCAGCGCAGCTTCGGGGAGAACTACGTGAGTCGGGCGGGCCTCGGCCCCGGCAGCACCCCTCTGACGCTGGCGCGGTTTAACGAGAGGTTGTTTTCAATCCCCCCAGGTCCAGGAGCTGCTGGAAAAGGCGTCGGACTCCAGAGTACGTACCCGGCTCCCCGGTGTTCCCTCCCCTCGTACGGCCCAGAACTCCCGGTTTTTGTTAGGGGTTTGCCGACGGAGGCTGTTGGATTCTTGCCTTTTCAGATAAACGGTGGGGTTATTCTTAGCTCTTTGCCGTTGCCCTGTTCCCCCTCCTCGTCTTGCTGTCACCACAGCGTTCTGTGATACATGTGCCTTAGTCATAAAGTCTTTGAACATAATCTGCTGCAGGAGATAGATACTCATTTAAAAAAACACACACATGCAAAAGAAACCCACTCAGTTTGAGGAAAATATCATTTTATGACTGTTAAGTTATAAAAGAGCTTTGCCTTCCTCAGTCAGCAGCCACAGCTCCCCTCAGGTGTGGAGCAATCCCAGTGCACACCACAGGCACTGCCTGAGCTGCAGCTTTCAGGGTAAACAAAGATCAAGATTGCTCAGCTGGTATTTTGTTTGCAGGCAATTTAAGACTTAAGTGCTGTGTGGGGGAAGAGGGAATCATCATTCCCACCTAACTGTTCCTCTCTGCTTTCAGATCTTGTCCTCTTGTCCGGAGATTAAGTGGCATTTTATTGGCCATCTGCAGAAAAATAATGTCAACAAGTTGATGGGTAAAACCTGTTTGACTTTTTGTGTGGTGACCCCATGGGGAATAGTCTTCTAAAGTTTAGGTGTTAGCAGCAACTCGCTGCTGCCTGTCCCTGTGGGGGAGCTGCAGGTACCTCAGTTCCCTGCCAGCAGGAGTTCCCTCAGCCTGTGTTTTGTCCCCAGCTGTCCCTAACCTGTTCATGCTGGAGACTGTGGATTCTGTGAAGCTGGCAGACAGAGTCAACAGCTCATGGCAGAAGAAAGGGTCTCCCCAGAAGCTGAAGGTCATGGTGCAAGTGAACACCAGTGGAGAGGACAGTAAGTGGCTTTTTTGGGACGATGCACAGGTTTGTGCTGCTGGCCTGACGGGGCAGTTTGGGCTCTGAAGGCGTCTCCCTGAGCTGGGATGGAGCTGGGTCCTCTGTGGGCCTGGAGCAGGCAGGGCAGGGGTCTCCTGTGTCCCCCAGGCAAGCACGGGCTGCCCCCCGGGGACACTGCGGCCGCCGTGGAGCACGTCATCAACAAGTGCCCAAGCCTGGAGTTCGTGGGGCTGATGACCATCGGCAGCGTCGGCCACGACCTCAGTAAGGGGCCAAACCCTGACTTCCAGGTAGGAGTTGCTAGAAGAAAGGGTCAGTTTTTGGCTTGCCTTCCGTTACAGGCTGCTGCCTGTCCCAGCCACCCCCGTACACCGTCACGCTGTGAGTCTGACTGTGGGTTGTCAACAGGAACACCTTGTCTGGAGCAGCACAGAGCTCAGCATGGCCGGGGTAACGTGGCCCTTAGGCTCCTTCCTGCAGGCTGGTGTCCATCTGCCCTGAACCAGGGCGTGGGCAGGAGCACCCAGGGCAGCTGTTCCTGTCCTGGGTCCTCTGGCCCTGCTTCCAGCCAGGGTCCCCTCAGCCTTGCTGTGCGTGCTGGGCTGCCTCAGGCAGAGGAACAGAGTCTGTGTTCCTCCCCTGTCGTGCTGCTGGGATAATTGGGTGTCCTCAGGAGGTTTGTAAGTAACGTGTGTTGTCATAACACAGCTGTACTGGGACACCTCCAGGCATGGTCACGGTGCTGCAGAGCAAGCTTCAGTGGGAGGGGTGGGAACTGCACCTCCTGCGTGAAGGAGACTTCAAAGAAAGGCAGAAATTGTGATCTGTGAAAGCCTGAGGCTGCACTGGTGTGGCTGTCAGGCGTGTGCTCCTCTCCTCTCTCCTTCTCCCTTCTAGATGCTGCTGTCTTTGCGGCAGGAAGTGTGTGAAAAGCTGAATCTCCCTGTGGAGAAGGTGGAGCTGAGCATGGGCATGTCCACAGACTTCCAGCATGCAGTAAGTCAGGTTTCCTCCTGCCACCTCTTTTCTCGGGGTAGAAAAGTCCCACCACCAGCAACACCAAGGTCCAGCCCAGGCAACATCCAAAGGAGACTCCATCTCCTTGGATGGAGGTACTGATGCTGCTGTTCCATCAGAAACAGCTCTCGTGGTCCTGGGGTAGAGTCCTGGGGCTGGGAACAGACCCTGGCTGTGGCTGCAGCTGGGGAGTGGGTGGGAGCCATCCCCCAGGACGTGGTGAGCGGGCTCTTGGCAGGGTGGGTGGCAGCCCTGCCCTGAGCTCCTCCCCTCTGTCCCTCTGCAGATAGAGGTTGGATCCACAAACGTCAGGATCGGGAGCACCATCTTCGGAGAGCGAGATTATCCCAACAAAGCAGCTGCTGGCAAAGCCCCTGCTGAAGGTGAAGGTGAAATGGAGACCTTGGCAGCACAGGGTCACTAGATGGAGGAAAAAAAAGACGTGGCCTCGAGAGAGGAGAGCTGCTGGGAGACCTCACTATGCATCCTCCCCTCCCTCCGTGTCAGCACCCGCTCGTGATGGTGGGAGGGGATCCCTCGTGGCAGAGCAGAGGCCAGAAACGCCTCTTAATTTATTGTGATTGTAGAGCACCCCTAGAAACTGGAAAATTTTATAACCAACCAATGATAACAAAATCTGTTTGTGGTATCTGGGCTCCATCAGGGTCGTTAAGAACAGTGACTTTGTGCTAGTGGGGCTGAACAAACTAAATCATTGCCAGGGTGGAGTCGCTGGTGAGCGAGATGTGTCTGGTTGTGCTTTCACTGAGGACTGAATTCTTCATTAAACGAGTCACAGTCTTGCCAGAGACCTGCCCATGTTTCCCCAAAAGCTTTGCCCATGGTCCCTGTGGAGGGCTGGTGGGTGCTGAGGCAGAGCTGTGCTGTGACACCAGAGGGACCGTGGCCGTTCAGGGGGGGTGAGGGAGGAGCACAGAGGATGGGTGAGGAGCAGCATTGCCAGCTCGTGGTGCAGGGTTCTGGGTGCAGGTGGCAGGTGTGGGAGTGTCTTTTTGGCTTATATTTGTCCTTTTCAGGCTGACAGTTAACTCTTCCCCTTGGTCCCATCTCTGCTCAGCTCTTCTGGGGTCTTTTCAGCCTCCCCCCTCCCCTCTTGTGAAGCGTTGTTGGGAGTTATTTTCATCCTCCGTAGTAGTTCTTGATGCTGTAAGTGCTTTTGGGTCAGAATGGGGCTTTTCTGTGAGGTCCCTGCTCTACCACCAGCTTGCTGTTGCTTTCCAAGGCAAGTGGCTGAACCGTTGGGTGCCTCCACGGTCACCTCTGCATCTGTGTGAGGGTGCAGCGAGGGCTGCTGGGGGCCCTGAGGGGAAAGCCCTTCAGAAAGTAAAGTGTCATTGTCCCACTGTGTTCTAGGCTCCTGAACAGCAGTCCTGTCACCCCTGACAGAGCTGCCAGGCTGTGTCTGGGTATCTCAGGCCCTGGTCTCACCTTGGCCTCTCCTGGGGGAGGGCAGCAGGGCTCTGCAGCACCCGTCCCCTTTGGGGGCGAGCAGAAGCTCCTGCATGACCTCACGTGCTGTTTGCTCTGCGTGTGGCTGAATCTCACTGTTGGTTTTACTCTCTTGGCTATAAATGCTGGATGTAAAGGAGCAGAAGTCCACTTAGCACCAGCCTGTTG